GAAACTTGCTAGAAATCTCTTTCAATACCAACAGGTATCAGTAAGAATCAATGAAAAAAAAAAATAGGATCAGCATACAAAAGGATGCCAAAGTTGTAGAAATGGCTGCTTTCCTCAGAAAACTTGTTTATCACAGAACAAATAGGAGGGGCTGGGCTGTCTGAAGGCACTTCTGGATGGCTGAGGTAAACTTACCTGTGGAAGTTCCAGCCAGGATGCAAAACTGAAGATCTGACAGCCCTTCCTGAGAAATCTGTAGGTGTTCAGGAGATGGCTGGAGCCAAATCAAACAAGTTTTGCTTCCTTAAACTTTGTGCAGCAATCCTAACTAGACCAGAGATGTCATTGTTTCAGTGATCAGGGAAGAGATCTGGCATCAGCCTCTGATGTTGCTTATGATTTGGAACGCACTTTGAGTTCTTCTGTTGAGAGAGCCAGCAGAAGGGTCTAGCATTTGGTACAGGAAATGGAAAAATCATTGGCACAGCAGTAAAGACACCTGATTGCATGTGCCACATCACTTAGCTCTGGGCTTAATTCCATACTTGCATTTGAAGCTGTAGGAGAGGGAAAACCAAGCTAACCAGAGATACTTCATATCGTGGAAAGCTGTGGAAGTCTCCTCGCATGTCTTTCCCCAAATAACTGTCAAAATTACCAGGAATCAGCATAGATAAACATATTCCCTTTGAGTTCGAGTCCTGAACATGTTCATTCTCTGGCAGGCCTGTACTCCATCAGTCTAGGTTGGATTCATATTTAATCCTTAAGTTTTACAACAGCCAGTCTCAGTCAAATGATATAGAATATGAGCAACATACTCTTAAGCAAGTCATATATATATGATTAGAAATGAGATGGCATTCTTGCTTTGGGGATATGCAGATAGTCCACGCCTACACTTTTGCAAGGGCTTAGGGCATTTTCTCCTCCAACTCTTTCAGATGTCTTGGAAAAAACATCTCATTAAGCTCCTATTAGATTGTCACATTTTAACCCCTAAAACATGACACGTAAATGAATGAGCCTAGTAATCCTGAACAGGTTTCCAAGTAAGAAGTAGATTACAGAGAAGTAGGCTTCATTAAAGGGAGACTTCGTTTAACTAATCAATAGGCATATGTTTTCCTCATCCATGCCTTTATTTGTAAGGGCACAGGACGTACTATTCATTCTCATCATCTGGCTAAAGATGTGGCCAAACCACTTAATACTTTGATACCATGTGAACTCTGGAAGTGTATTTCTTTACAAAGATTAATCCACATCATCTTGCTGGAGTCCAAAGGAAAATAAAAAGCAATCCATTAAAAAAATTGAAACAGCACTACAGGTTAACTACACCTTATCCTGCACTGTGTCCTTTGGCCTTGTGCTATGTCTTTAAGCAAAAGACAATTATTTATGCAAGAGACAAGCAAAACCACATGCTTTGGCTTGGTCAGTCTGCCAGCACTTGCTTCATATGAATACTTTGTCTCGTTGTTTGTTCTCTGAGTAATTCAGCTGTTTCCTAACGCTTTCTTCTGTGCCCCAGTCTGTGACAAAACTTGGCCTGGACATCTCATGTATACTGCTTCAGCAGTTTGCCACTCAGGCAAAACACTATTTGCTTTAAGCAGTGAACCCCCAGGCAGCTTATCAAAATCAGTAACATCCCATATTGCTTTATAAGCCTTCAGACAGACCCAACACCACAGGGTTTTGGTTTTTTTTTTTTTCTTTTCTGGTTCTCCTCCACTGGGTTTGTTGTCTCCTGTTAGAGGAAACAGTGAACTAGTATTAAAATGGGGGCAACTTGCTATAGGCCAGACAAGGAAGCACTAACCACCCACAGCTAACAATTTATGCAACACTGTGCTAATTTTAGTCTTGCATACAGCCAGGGCAGACAATCCCTAAAGCAGAGATGTTTAGCTCTCAGCTAAGGGCAGCATGCGACATATGGTTGCTAAAGCATTCTCCTAGCAGGGAGCTTTGCATTTAGGGCTGAGTTGCTACGGTTCCCTCCAAGTCATAACTTTGAGGATTACTCATCCTAGACACGCAAAAGCAGTCTCATCCCCACTGGGGTTCTATTTCCAGCACTTGATTCACTTCCAGTAAGGTCTGAACTTATGTACTCTTGACAGTCACAGGCTAAAAGAAGCAAGGAAGAGGAGTGAACGAAATTCAGCAGACAGATTACTAGATATCTCACTGCGGCAGCTTGGGCACACGGGTTTGAAGCTCACGCCACAGACTGCATTGGTCATTGATCCTGCATTGGCCTGTGAAATACTGACATCTTAGCAGTCCAGCTGAGAAAGCGTCATTTTTGATCAGGATGCATCTGAAGCAAAAACTGAAACTCAGCTAACCTATTCTGAATGTGCTATTTATAGCAGACAGTGGAGGATGAGAAGTATTGCATCACAGAGCATGGTTCATAATATAAAGCACTAATGCAGCATTAACCATTTCAAGTAATTTTGCATATCTTGAACCCCATTATGGTTTTGCAGTGGACTCAGTGGGTTACATGAGTAGCTATGGCACTTAGCTAATAGATCCTCAATTCTGGAACAGCTTCTGGCTGCCATTCTGCCTCTGGCACCTTTGCTTATTCTGCCCACAAAGATAACAAGTAGTATGAGGAGTATAGAGCCCCTAGAACAGCATTTGTCTTCTCTGGAAATCTGTGAGCACACTGAGGCCTGGATACCTTAAAGCAGGCTATTCTGGGGAGTGATATAAAATGGAAAGATCAGAAAACTATTTATAAATTGGGGTTTTGCTGAAGCTCTCAAATAAGATAGCTTAATTTAAATAGGAGCTGGACCACTCCTGGATTTCTGATCCAGGAGAAGGCTGGGAGAAAAAGAAAAGGCGTATACAGAGAATGCTTTGCAGATTGAATGCTCCTTTCCAGGCCTGAGAAAACTATCCTAAAAACAAAGAGCCAAAAAGCCCTATGACATGTTAATTTCAAGCTCCATTAGAACCAGTGGAAGAAAAAAAAAAAATCAATACTGTGGGAATGAAAAAGACCAAGCTTATTGGAGATAAATATTGTTTTTCCAAGTGCCTAAAAGTGCTTACGAAATATGCCCCAAAACAAAGAATTAAAAAAAGCTTAACTAATTTAAATAGGGAACAAAGATCTCTCTTCTGATCTTTTATCAGCTCACAACATTCGACCACAAGCTGTGTTTGATGACTGAGGTCCTAGAGTCCAGGACTTCTGACGTGGTGATGAGGGAGTAGGAGACAGCTCAGATGCATGGGTCCTGCGCAGGCAGGAGATGTGACAGCTCTGCCCTGTTCATATGACTAAAGCAGGTCTCAGGCTTTGAGATATCATGATGAAGCCCATTCTCCTTTCAGCTGCCTCCATTTTAAATTCCAGAGACTCCAGCTGACTCATTCCTTCCTCCTGTCTGAGGTCAGGCAAGATGTGTTTTGGAGGCTAAGTAAAGCACCACAGATTTCAATCTACTGAATCAACAGAACACTAGAAATACCCAACTTGCTGATTGAAAACCAGAACTGTCTAGAAGAAGCAAAATTTATCTTAGCTCCCTGTCAAATGCTGGGAGACTGGAAAGAAGCTGTGCAGGATGGAATTGCATTAGTCAGGCTCCAAATATTCCTTCATATCTACCATCATGAATACTCTTCCTTACTTCCCCCCACCTTCCCTCCTGCGCACCAAATTCCATCCATAGCAAGCCCTTCATGCTTGCTTGGGAATCCTGAACAACCTAGAGAGGTACCAAAAGCCGGGTGTATGTCAGGAAGATAGGCAGGGAGGAGGTTGTGAGTCAGAGAGATGCAGGCTGGAGTATGCTCTGATACATTCTGCCCATAGCCTGAGGAGGGCAGAGTAGGGATGGCTCTGATGGAATGCTGCAGCTGCATCATGAATAATAGTAAGGTTTGAGCAAGCACATCCACTACAGAAGTGGATGTCTGCCCCCATCCTGCTGCTGGTTGCATCTGAAAACTTTAAGCAGTGTATAGTTTGGTCCTTCCCAGACTCTGATCACGCCCCACTGAGGGCATCAACACCACGAAAACGCTACACAAAGTAAAAAGAATATCACATCAGAGGGACTGGCGGCTGTGCCATGAAGTGCTTCATTCACCACAGCTGGTGGCCTGCAGAGGTTACTGCAGGGCTGCAGTTGTTTCTTTGTGTGGCAGTCCCTGCCACCATTGCAGAAGAGCCTGTCTTGGATCAGGCCAGCCCACATCTCCAGGAGCCCAGAGTGCAGCAGCAACATCAAGACAAGATGCACAGCATTAGATGGGGAGGCTCCGAGCCCAGCACAGCGGTCACAGCTCAAAGCCAAGGAAAGAAGAACTCTATAGGGTTCTACTCTGAGTCACTGGGAAGGGTCTCTGCACCACAAAGAGGATTCAGTCATTCATACACACACACGCTGGCTGGCACACAGTCATTTCTATGGGTGCTCATGGTTACTAGCGCCCTTGCATTACTCCAGACAAAAAGCAGGCTAACTTCCTCTCCACCTTACTCTGATGGGAGCAAAGAATATTGTAAAGAAACACTGCTGAGCAAAATATTTTATGAAGACAGATTCCTTTGTATTAGCAATCAGTCAAGTATGTCTGAGGACCAGTTCAGGCACTCCTCTGCTGCCCAGGGGGTTAAAAAAAGACAAACAAAAAAATCCCACAAACAAAAAAACGCTCCAGCTTGGGAGGCAATAGGGAAAACAAGAAGGTGAACACCACAATAAAATCAAAAAGTGCTTCTAAGAGAAGCAGCAGGATAAAATCATTCCTACAGTCTGAGAGCACTTACATGCTATTGACTGGAGAGGCAGAAATGGCCCCACACAAGTAGATGTAATGCACATCTGCAAGCACTCAGTGCCTGCAAAGACAGTCATCTCCTCCTGCCTTTGTTTCTTCTGGGCAGTGTTTAATATAGGAGCCAGTTGCCAGGACGAGTTCCCATCCTCTCATTCCTAGGGCATTCCATTCAGCATCTTTCAGTAGTAGTCATCCTTCTTGCCATCAGCTGCCTGTATGCCTGCATGGTCCTTCTGGTCTTGGGCAAGTTCCAGGTCGTCATTGTCATCCACTTCACCTCCATGATCCTCCTGAGTGCACAGGGAACATCCAGGAAGGAAAAATCAACAAGACTTGGAAAAGGAGACCTTAATAGCAGTGTACTATGCTGCTTCTGAATATAGCTGTTCTACCATACCAGCTCAGCTTGGGAAACTCAGGAAAAAAGGGAAGAATCTATCTCTGTCAGGGACCTTCAGGTGTCATTGGCAAGCCACTTAGCCAAGACACAGCTGTAAGAAGCCTATGTTGCCATGATCAGCCCATTCGTTTTACACACATTTAAGAGCATCTGAGAAAGAAAAGGGAGTAGTGGTAAGCAGGCTTCAGGTTTCTTCTGGAGACCCACCTCACTGATCAGGCAGAGACAAAACTGAAGTCAGTGCTCACATTTGGTTTCCTAAAAGCTGAGTTCTACTCAGCTCCCAGCTACCAACACACTCAGGCTACAATCTAAAGAGGAAGAACCTTGGTGTCGTACAATTTCTTGCTCTTGATCTTCTTGATAATCATCCATTGGGTCATCTCTGGGCTTGGCAGGTCTGACAGCATCCTGAAAAACAGAGAAAGTCAGACACTATTGACAGTGCCCCAGCCTACTTCGATTCCCTGCCAGGGACACAGCTCTCTTGCATTGGAGCCCCAGGCCTGGAAGACTGAGTAAAAGATCAGGAATCAGGGGGCAGCAGAGAGACAATGAGGCAACCCAAACTCCATTTGTACTTTCTCCATCCAGCCTCTCTTCCCACCTGCTGGCAGGAACTGCCCAGCTCCTTCCACTGTGGAGAGGGAGACCTCTCCTGCAGCAGGAAGGTTGCAGGATGCCCTTGCACATGCTGCTGTTGCATCAAGCCCCAGGACTGCAGGGAATTTACAAGTTCTTTAGGGTAGAGCTTTAGGAAGCACAGCACAGCCCCATCTGAAAGTCAGGTATTTATGTCACTAATTCCTTCCACGTTTTCACTAATCTTAAGGATATGTTGCTCTGTCAGTGCCAGCATCTTGTTCCTGTTTGATTTAATTGGCTTTTTTTTTTTTAATCTCACTAGTAATGATGATTTTAGAGCCTGACAGATAAAACACTCCTTTTTAAAAACAAGCATCATTCAGCTGCTTGTCAAAACAAGCTAACATTTCCCTGATGCAGAGTCTGGCTTCAGACAGCAAGAAACACTTGCAAAATAAATGGATTCCATCTGCAAGCAGGCAAACGAGGCAGCAGAGTTCTCACGTGTTGTCACTGCTGCCAAGAGCCTGCTGCCTGCCATATCCTTGCAGTGGGATTACGGATCCATCCAGGAACATGATGTTTTCCTTTGAATCCTTAAGCTCTCTGCCTCCCCCCATTCATAGTTGGCAATCTCTCCCTGGCTCCGGCAGGTTGCCCTCATGTCACTCACCTTCAGTGGCTTCTCCTTAGACTCTTCTTTCACGCTGGGATCCTTGAACTTCTCCAAACCTCCCACCTTCTCTTCAAAGTCAGGTCTCTCCAGCTCAGCTTCCTCAAACTCATCCTCACCTTGGTTATTGGGATCCTGGGCAGGATCTGCAGCATCATCTGGCATCTGGACAAGAAAAGCCTCTTGTAAGTAGCAGGCAGGATATCCCCTGGGAGACAGAACGCTTGCTGCATTCACCAGCAAGCAGAAAGTGCTGGCTTGTAGCACTTCAGCCTCACCTCTCTTCAAGCATTTTAGTGGTTCTAAAAACAAAAACCCCAGTCTTTGTTATCCCTCTGAATCCCTCCAGAACCAAGGAGTTTGGAGTTGCAAATTACAGAAACTTCTGGGAAAGCATTGACTTAAACGGGACAGCTGGAATCTTATTCAGAGCTAGGGTTGCATTCAGATGGCAGCACGACAGCATTACTTACCATTGGTTCCTGGATGACAGTCTCCTTCTGAGAGTGCAAATTTTCCTCTCTCTCAATCACTCCTGCATCTGCAAGGAAAAGGGAGTCACCAGTGTACCCTCTCAAAAGTCAATGCCACCAGTTAAGATTCCCACTGTTGGGCAGCAGCTGTATTAACTCTGTGCCAAGCAGGGATTTGTCTCTACCTGCCTGCAGCTTGAGGCAGACAACACTCTATGTAAGTTTTCAGAGGAATGCTTCTTCAATGCCATCTGCAAGAGTTCAGGGCAAAGCAGCACCTTGCTCCTACAGCTGCCAAAACTGCTTACTTGTCCCCAAGGCTGGGGCATAAGCATGATTTGCAGCTTGCCCGTAACTTACTGAATGGTACACGTATGCTAAAAAGACAAAAACCAGCTCTGAATTCAGCCCCTAATCTGTATTAAGATGCATCTTTCCCTCATGCCACTGCTAAGCCTGGGCAGCATCTGCACCAGCAACCCCGCTGTGCAGCTAGTCAGACCATCCCTGGGAGCCAAAGCACACCACGGCAGGTCAGTATGCCAGTGCCACCCTCCCCTTCGTTGGCACACAGCTGCTGACAAGAACTAAAGGCAGGCTTCCTGCGTCAGGCAGAGGGACAGTCAGGGCATGAGGAGAGTACTAATGAGAGAAAAATACACTCTTTAAAAAAATATAGCCTTTGCTTTCAACTAAGTAAAGGCCTAATCCTCACCCTGAATTGGATATGACGCTGACACATCCCAGCTCTGGCACTCACTGCTGTCTGCTATGACCACAGGCTGAATGCTTCTTCACAAAACATTAAAGGAACCTGTGAGACAGCAGTGTTCCCAACTGGACAGCAGCATGGCCAGGGCAGTCAAGTCATTACTTTGGCTGTTAATTCCATTTAGGACACAGAGCTCAAGAGCTATTGGTCCTCACGCTCCCTTATACCTGCCATGAGGCTTTTTCTTTTCAGGGAAGAATTCACTTTGATGTGAACCAATTAGTTCAGTTCCTCTAAGGGGACTTGCTGAAAATCAGGTCAGCAAAACATGAAATAGCAGCTAAACATAGCTGTGAGAAAGCACAGGAATACCAAACCTCCCCTCCAAACAGGCACCTGTATGCACATTAGCTATTAGGTAACTGTTGCTGTTCTGCGAGGAAGGACTTCACCTGCACAGAGTGAACTGAGCCTATAGCCCAGAAGAAAATCACCCCTCTTGGACGATTTCAGCCTTTTGATCCGAGATTCAGTTAGAACCACCAGCCTTCGTATTTCTGCCCCGTGACATCCCTCGTCTGTTCCAAATGTAGAGCCAAAATCTACTGTCAAAAAACTAGGCTGAGACTATCTCTATCATGTTCAATAGGATGCAAGTTGGCATTTCAAATGAGATCCTCACAGGAGTCTCAGCTCCCAGCTACATGAAAAGCCACATACTTAAGTCATTCTACCTCAGGCTAGCAACATACGGAATTAGCATTAGTCATATCTATATTTCAGTGTCTCTTTTTGACAAAGGTAACTAGTTAACTTCCAAATCTCACAGGTTATTTCCATGTGTGCAATAGAAATTGATGGTGTTTGCAGCAAAGAAATCTGTTCACAAAGTGTTTGCACCGTATATCCTGGCCCCTTGAGCACAGCAGAGCATCTCTGCACAGGTTCTCAGACTGGACACCTCTGCTCAAAAGCCCATTTTAGCTCTCCACTGCCTGTCTGGCTTACTGTAATACATTTTTGGTGTCTTTATTTGGTTCCAAAGGAAGTTTGTAGCTTTTCTCTTAGCTCGTAGACATACAGCTGCAATTAAGTCAACCTTCCCTTTGTTACTGGACCTATGGAAGTGCTCCAAGCCCCCATCCACCCACTCTAATTTTCAAAAAGGTCTAGTCTTTTTACAGCTGTTTTGTGTTGTTTCACACAGCACAGTTATTTAATCGTTCCCTCATTTTGCCACTCACATTACAGGACAATTGATAAACCTCACCTGGAAAATAAGGCAAAGGTTCTGCCTTCATACGCACAGTCTAATGGATTGTGCATTAATTGGTTTCATGGTGTGATGAAGAACTTTACACCAAGTCAAATGTTTCTCCCAGCCTGTTATTAGCCAAGTAAGCCAATGCACAGGAGTCTGATCCGCATCAGAAGACTGAGGAATTCTAACACACTGTTCTAAGAGCTGGCCTCCAATTGCCCAAATACAGCTACTTACTAGACTTTAAAATAAATGTAAGTGCTTTGTTGGCTGACTGAAAAAATACAACTGTCTGCCCTTGAGTTTATTTGCTTTTAGCCTCTTAAGGACAGTTGGGAAATTTTCTGCCTTAGTAAGTTAGAAAACCCACTTCTAAAAAAATTAAACCAATTCCCACGGGAAACTGAGATCGAGTCTTGCAAAACAGTGACATTTTCTCCATCACTCCTGTAGGAAAGAAAGAAGAATTGACTTTACTTACACAGATTTTGAGTCCACTACCTCGGAAATGTGTGAGGATGCAGGACAACAGGGATCAAAAATGGAAAGCTGTCCAGGCTTTTCATTTGACCAAGGACAATAAAAGCACAAGAATTTTTTCAAGAGTTGTAAGGTTTTCCGTTAACACAAGCAGAATCTCTTTTCGCTCCCAACTCAATTGGCAGTAAATTAGTTCTGTACAGCATAGGATTAGGGAAACCATACCCATTTCGAGTTCCTCGTTATCTGTCTTTTCCTTTTCGCCTTCCTGATCAGCTATTTGATGCTCTTTCCCACTCTTCTGATGAGGTGGCTGTGGGCTGCCCTTCTGCATCTCTTGCCCAGGCTTGGGATCCAAATGAAGGCTCTTTGGGTAACTGTGCACTTGTTGTTCATCCATCTGGGCATTCACTTTGTCAACTATGTCTCTCCAGCTGCACCAAAGGTACAAAACAAAACAGAATGCCCTTGCCTCAGTATATCAAGGGATATTTATGCTATTTCATAATGGCAAGCAGAGAAAAAAAACCTCCAACACATGCAGAAGTTTGTCCTAATTTAACTTTTTGACAAAACTAGCACATTGCATTAGTTACTGTGATATCTGATTGAAACAGAACATTTAGTATGCCACATAAGTACAAGAGGTTATGTTTTATAGATACAACTTATTGTATAACTGCTTTAATATTATTCATATAATACAATAACATATCCACGTAGCAATAAACTCTAATTCTAAACAGACACTTACTCATGCCTCACACATACCCAAATCTAAGTTTTTGGAAAAAGTATCAAAAACATAAGTCCTCTTTATTGTTCCAAACTTGATTTAAAATGAAGATGCTACTAAAGTAAAATTTTGGCCTATAAGGAGAAAAAAAGCCTTTCAAAATAAACAGGAAAGCTGCAACACACAATTGACAGCTTCTGTTGTCCAATTTATTTTTTTTTAAAGCTACAAGCTCTTTACAAAGATTTGCAACTAGGATGGATACTTTAACCAGCATCTGTTTATAAAACTCTTCCATAGCATGCATCTGTCCATGTACAAACCTAAACAGTGAAAAATCAAACTACCTGAAAGGAAACATTCACATATTGGTGTTTTTTGTGGTTTTTTGTTGTTGTTGTTGTTGTTTTTTTTTGTTTGTTTGTTTTTGGTTTTTGTTTTTTGTTTTTTTTTTTTTTTAAGGTGAATATGGGAAAAAGTGTTTAATTTCTTCATTCAGTGAAGGAAGCCACATTCCAATATGATTTACTGCTGCTTCTACCACCGCCCCCAAATGTTTTCATCCATTTACTGATCTGAAAAATCAATTATTCATACACAGCTCTATCTCTGGGAGTTCAGGCAACCCCTTTCACGCAGTCATAGTCAGGAATTCCTTCCTCTGTAAGGGTTCCACCTCAAATACACTTCTCCTGATGTCTACATCAATATCTATGTCTGCTTCCTTCATAACAGAAGTGCCTCAGAGGGACAAGCACTTGATATCAAGGTATATGCCAACTGCAACAGTTTTCATTAACGCTTCTCTGCCTGCAGCAATAGCACACCTCACCTGGATACCCAAGCAGAGGCTCAGCAGTGGAGCCCTTGGTAGTGTAACGCTGTTCCACTGCCAGAAATGAATTGGAGGACAGAGAAGAACCAGAGTATCTTCAAATTAGTTTAGTGAACCCCTGACAAGTCCAGAAGGCAAGGCTATTTCACAAGGCATCTTTTCTTCCCAAATATCCTTACTCAGGGACACCTTCAGAAACAAAGAAGGGTAAAGGAAGGGATGAAATCCTAATAATAGGAACTCTCAAAACTGACTGAAGAAAACCCCACCTTTTAACCTGAGTTAGTCACCATCAGCTTCAAGCAGGATTACTGCTTGGTCTAGCCTGTCCTGCTACGTGAGCCAGCTGAGATTTAAAAGTCTACTTAAGACATTTAAGTTTAACTGCTGAGAAAGGACAAGTAGCCTTAGCTTTAGCAGCTTTTTAAAGCCAGTACACTACCACCACATGAAACTTTTAGTAAGAAAAAAAAAAAAAAATCACAATCCAGCCTTCAGCTCAGATTTCCCCATTATAAAACCATCAAAATGCAAACTGGCCATCAAGAGTTCATCCGGAATCTGCTGGTCTCAGCCACTCAATGCAACAGTTCTTGGCATTGGATGCATGGCCTCTTTTGTACTCTACTGCAGCTTAATATTGTTCTTGGCATTGACACCTCCTGGAGAACGTTGGTTTATGCACTCCTTATCATGAATCTCATGCAGTGTAAATAACAGCCTGCAGCTGCTCAGTAATTTCTTGATGATAGATCCAGGAAAAGAAAAGCACACCAAACACACCACAATCTCTCTTCTTGCAGAAATCATTTGCCAAATAAATCAAATATTTGCATTTTCTGTTTCACAGAGTAGCGATGGTATCCTTTCCAGGCTCTACGTAGCTGAGGAAAGGCCATTCTGCCATCACAACTTCAACTCTCACCTTCAGGTAGAGCCACACAAGTCCCTCCCTGTAAAAAGGCAGAATATCCTCTGTGCTGTTCCCCGGTGTGTCCGTGCAGATGTTATATGTCAGAGCAGTATGGAGAGGACATTGCCCCTTCAAGAAATATGCAAAGCACAATCTCTGACCTGGAAAGATTACAGGTTAGGTGAACAAACAAAAATGGCAGAGAAGAATAAGTAGGATCAGGCTGAATTTAGAATGATATCCAGAAGTCTCCTCCACAAATAAAGCAGAAATTAAATCTTGTTTGCTCCAGTAAACTGAGCAGATATGACCTGGACACACAGAGGGAATAAATGAAGTTAAATGAGGAAGTACTATTTTCAGAGTCAGTTTTTGGATTACAGCCAGACTTTGATGAATTGCAGCCTCAGAAAGACTTTTTCTTCCTTTTGCAAAACAGATTAGTCTTCTTTGAGTGCTGCTGAGACAGTGAACAGTTTCTTCTGTGCCTGTACAGCATCCAGTACAACAGGATCCTGATCCCTGACTAGACTCCCAGATACTACAGCAAGACAAGTAACAGACTGTAGGAATTATCCATTCTGTTACCTGTATGGAATGGGTAGTTCATGCCAGTATCTGAACGACTGCCCTTTCCAAGGGACTCCCCTTCTCAGAGGTCTCTTCTCTCATTTACCCCAAGAACAGGTCTCGAGAACACATTGTGCTGAGGATGTGCAATACAAGCAACAGTCCCGCGTTGCAGAGAATTTCAATGCCAAGGTTTCAGCTAAGCTCAGATTATATCACTTCCACGTCTTTTATTGGAAACCCTGATCCTTATATTGATATGGTTGAATTGGTCTGACTTCTCCAGATGAAGCTGAAGTTGGTATAAACTACATGATCTCAAGTACAGGTATACAGGAACACAGACAGGATGAAAGCCTGGGCTGTCTGTATGGATTCTGGTTGTGTCTTCATTTCTGGCATAAACTATTGCTGTAAACTGTTTTACTCCATTCTGAACAAAACCTATAGTTTTGAGATGACAGGTCTCAGACCTGTCTGACTTATGTTCTAATCAGGCTCTGTGAAGGAAAACCCCTAGCACACCTCAGAGGTGCACTGGCAAGAGGAACCCAAGCTCTGCTCCCTGGGAGGAAAGAAAACACACAAGAGCTAATACAGAGTTTGGGAACTTGTCTTTGCCCGAGGAGGAAAACCAGAAAAAACTCTAGTACCTAATAGGGGCTGGTTGCCTGCTGCTTCTAGATTACTATATAACCTTGGAGATGAGAAGCTTTCAGATCTTCAAGGTCTTGTTGTTCCTGCAGAGCCTGGCAGACTACTGATTAATTAGTGGGCAAAATGAGCGAGTTGCAGCTGTAATGTACAACTTAATGCCTCTTATTTTTAGAAACTGAAGGAATTTTTAGCCACCCTTGCTGCTGCAGATAGGTGGCTTCCATCACACAGAATTTCTTCAGTTTGCTAAACAAAACAGGATATTTAAGTCACCATCACTGAAAGGGAGGAGATTTCTTTAAGTCAGTTCAGACTCCCATCCCACTTTCTCCTCTAGCTAGTAGGACATCCACACTGACCCGATCTCACTCAGCAGTAATTCCTCTTTCCATTCCCCACACAAACACTTCACCAACCAGTTCAAATACAAAGGCAGCCTACAGAGCACGCACCAATAACATAAGAGCCTCATTTTATTTTTTTTTGCCTGCACAGCACCCACAACAGTCTGTGCATTCAATCACACAACATTGCCTGCAACATGACTAGTCTTCTGCTTCAGCTGAGATAGAGACCTGGCAGCAACAGTTAACAAGAATTAGTTATTGGTTCCACTGTCATCTAACACTTTCTTCAACCATCTTTCAAGTAGAAACCACAATAAACCCAAGAAGAGAGACACCAGGGACGAGCTTGTATGGTACCTTTCAGCCTGAGCATTGAGGGTAGAAGGGAATTTTGTTTCACCAACCTTTGCATTTGCACCTGTTTGCTCCCTGTAGAGTGGTGGTTGTCTGGCACGTGAGGTTTGTCTGCCACAGAGGGTTGTTTCAGATCAGGCAGTGACAATCCAGGAACCTGGCTTTCCTCATTGCTTTTCACCTGAATGCGCATCACCATCTTTAGATCCTGCAGAGGACACATGCATATGCTCAGGATATACACAAGCTCAGGATATACCCGCAGAGCTCCCTTGCATTTGGACAGACTTATGGGACAGAAAAATCTTTTAGCAAAGAACAAAAGATTCGGAAGTGCTCCAGAACAAATCTACAAGAGGATGTAGTTTGGAATCTATGTGACCCAGGCTTGTCTTGGGTAGTTAACAACAAAAGCACCTCTAAAAAACCCCCACACATTTTGCCATTATAATAGTTACTGTAATTATAGTCTAATCACACTGCAATTATTGGTGTTTTGTTTTGTTTTTTTCCCCTCACTCTCCATCACCCAGGAGGCAGGACAGCTGGTTTTACAATCAGCTTTGCAGATCTGTCAGGATCGAGAACAAGAACCCTAACCCACTCATCTGAGCCCAGCCACTAAAATACAAACTCTTGTGAGTGCACAGGAGTCTGAGACCTGAGGCCAGGACAGTTTCCACACCAGGGAAGTGGAATGCACATACACGTGTCATTACAAATATCATAGTTCTGAGTGCCAAAAGCAAGGGCTGTACAAAACAAGCAGCAAGTGTGCAGAACTTACCGGGTTCCCATTTGGTAGACTGTTCATGGTCCGGGTGAATCGGATCACATGGCCATCTCCACGCCTTGCTGGCCAGGCTGGCATAGCACCACCTGGCAGTGAATTGGCATCTTGCAGTGGCACTGGATGGGTAAAGGGCACATTAGCCTGTGGCCTCAGGCCATCGTTACTGTATGAGTTCTGGCCCTGCAGCAGAGGGCCATCTGCCTGCCTCTGAACCCCAGAGACTTGTGATGCCAGTGGGTTCCCAACAGGGCGATTCTCCTGATTGACTGGAAAAGCCTGCAAGGAAGAAAGGACAAGAGCAAACTAAAGGAACAAGCTCCATTCCCTCCAGTTCAAAACCCCATGCTGAAAACCCACAGAAGCCCTGCAGAACTCTCCTCCCTGGGGCTTCCTGGGAGTACCACACCTTCTGTCTCACAAGCTGCAACTGGCTGTTGGCTGGCACCGCAGGCTGCTCCTTCAGCACCTGGAACTGTTGCTGTCCCTTCCCAACTCCTCCTCCTTTGAAGCTCGGCATCTTCTGTAGAGCTTCTTTGAGCTGCCTGAACTCTTCCATCTGGGCCTGAGGGGACAGGAAGGCTACAGAGAAACGTCACGCAGTAACAGGGTTAAACGACTCCTTGTGAGAATAGCCACTCTTCTATGGCAAATTGTTCAGCACAGATACGCTACTAAAGAAGACAGACACATATTTTTTATATATGAAAGGCTGGAGATAATCCTCAACCAGTAATGACAAGCTCAAGCTAGTCTTCAGCTTTCCCTCCAGATTTCATGGATATTCTGTATTCCCTCTTTGCCAGTCTTGCATCTTATTTTATTGATTACTTTTACCCTGGAAGTGCTGACCCATGACACTGATTCCTTGACCAACGCTATTTAGTGCATGAGCCTCTGACATAACTCCTGCCTTTGCACAAGAATTGCATCCTCCCTCCCCTTGGAGGCTCCCTCCCCTCATGTGCCTCATACACATATGCCTCCAGGTCAGCTTTTTTTTCTTCCCGTGGAGGCATTTCCCCATGGATGTGCTCATCTCAGCAGGGCTGACAATAATTGGCATAATCCTACTTGACAATTCAATTTACTTTGCAAGAGAAATGAAAATTGATTCTCCTGGACTATTAAGCAAATACAACACTTTTGTCTCTACTGCAGCTTATTTCTTCCATCTCCAGCCCTGAAAAGTAGGGCTTAAAGCTACTCAGGAAAAGCTCCCCACTTGACCCCAGTTATTTATAGGAAAGTGAAGGGGGGAACTTTTCATACGCTTGCCAGGGTACCTGGAAATGGATGAAATTAGGGACTGGGCAGAGTAGGAAAGTTTCCAAGCAGCAAGGAAAGTTTAGCAGGAAATTAATTCCTGAGCAGGCTCTGTTGATTTCAGTTCTTTCCCCTGAAATTTGACCTTTAAATTAACATTAAAAAAAAAAACAAAGCCAAACCACTCAAAGCTAACATAAAAGGAATGAGGAAAAGAAAAGGAAGCCAAGAATAGCTCACGGGATATAGCCCTAGCTATTAGGAGACTGCTTCCAGTCAGAATGAGCCAGATGGAAGCAAAACTTGCACCCATCAAAAGCCTGCTAAGGTGGTCAGCCCGGAGGGAAAGCAGCTTTAGGACAGCTGTTCTGCACAGACTCCCACGTGCTGTTTGCACCCCATCACAGCAAGCTATGCATACATCACTTGATGTTTCCATGCCTCATTTTAGCTGGGAGACCAAGTGATAACGACAGCTCCTGCAGGTTGGGCTTGTGAACCATGTTAGAATCCTTAGAAAATTAACATGTTGTCTAGAATGCAAATTAATCCTCTGAACTTTCACCTGCCAGAAGGAAGCAAGGTCAACAACAAGGATACTCAGTGCAAATTGGCACCACAATGAAGAACTGCAGTGCTGATAAAGAAGCTGGGAGTCTTTGTGGGTGTCTGTAACTTATGGCACCTCTCCCCACTGGAGGCAAATGCAATTTCATTCACCTTTGTGTTATGAAACACTGATTAGACATTACAAAGGACTGATCAGAAGACCGAACAGAAAACTTTAAGATTTAATACTAAGCTCATTGTCAAAAAGACCAAAAGTATTTTCCGAAATCATTGGGACCAACCCCTGCCACTTCTGAAAGAGTCAGAAAGAGCAGTCAGACAGATCGTTGGAGCACAACTTGGTTACACAACTGTCGAGCATGTTCAGAGCCAGGAGCTGAGCCATGTCTCCCACACCCAGGGCAAATCCTTTTACTCTTGCTTGCTCTAAATTTCAGCGAGAAATGACAGTGAGCTGTTTCTTGCAAACCACTTTTCCCATTGGTCACAACACTGAAGGGGCCAAAAGTTAAGACTGGCAGCACAAAAGCTGCCACCATCTTTTCTAGTCTGCAGGTGCTTGACTTGGTAGCCTCAGCCATCTCTAGCCAAAATTTTTTAAATGCTGTTGAGAGTATGCACTAATTTGCACACTTGAACTGCCGATTGCTTTCCCTATATGCGGCACAGTTAATCGAATACCATTTTAAGGGTACTCTGCTGAAAAGTAATTCAGGACTGGTCCTACATGGTGTGCTAGATGCAAATGCTCTCAGCATTGACCCAGCAAGAGAAAAGTAGAAATACGTAATGACAAACAGAGGACCTTTGATCAGCTGATATTGACCCAAGTTGTCAATGGCAGAGGCCTGTATGATGGGAGCTGAATGAGTCTCAGTGTTGCTTTAGAACAAGCTACAGAGCAGTGACATTGGCAGCTACTTTGAAAGTTTGGTCAGGAGGCCTAAAAATGAAGGCTGAGATGCATTTTGATAGCAGCAGGTATGAATGTAGGCTTGCCAGGGGCACTAGAGAAGTTTGTAATCACGTGCTGTTTCAATTCCTGGTATGGGCTTGCTGGACTGACCCCTATGGAGACTAGAAGTCTTTGTTTAGCTTCCAACAAGTATGCTGCAGAGTCTCCTACCAGTCTGCCTTTTAGCCACATGGAGGAGCAGGGTAAAAAAGTTCAGTGGTAAGTCACGATTATAAAGGTAGGCAAGGCAAATACACTGACAGTGCACCCGAGACCCCTCAAACCACAGCTGACATGAGCCAAAGAGACATCAAGAGACAGCTGCCTGCAATGTCAGTAACCTGAGCTCCTGCCTGGAGCAACCAGTTACCTGTGAAGTTTGCAATGCCCTAGAGCCACTTTGTCCCTGCTATTTTGCAGGGCAGATCAGGTCAGAACTCCAGAGCAATCTTGTAGAAGTCAAAACTCACTACCTCCCACACCTCTAGTTCAAGTTCAGCATCCAGTTCAGGGAAAGAACCAGTTGTCAACAGCATCTAACCACAACTAGCTCCTTGCTTCTGGTTTTATCCTATAATCCAAGGCAGTGCTTGACAGAAGGCTATTAATTAACAACAGAAAAGACTAATTCAGGCTGCAAAGTGACTTTTAAAGTGTATTTACAAAGCCGCTGTGTCTTCGCTCAGTACAAGAGACACAGACAGACACTGTAGACACATTAAGTCCTCCCACTTCTCCCAGCATACCCTGTTTTCTTTGTTCTCCCAAGTCATTTGGGAGCTCCCAGCTTCAGCTGGGTGAGCAGAATTCTGTAATGTCAGGACTTCCAGTGTGCTGAAGACGCTCACACCATCTCCATAGCATGAGCACAACATCATATCAACAAAACTTTTGTGTTCCCCCCCCCCTCAGAAAAATGCTTTTCTGCCTCTCTTAAGCCAACAACACTTGCATGCCTGCCCTGGCCTCCAAAAGCATCACTCCAACACTTATTACTGAACACTAACTTCTCTTTTACATAGCTCTTTCCAAATTTTTTTGTGACACCTTAGTAGAGAGGGCAACCTATAGAGACATGCAGAAGAGTACCTTTTTGCCAGGGTTGTTGAGTGTCTATTTGTAGTCTCAATAAGCTAGGCAAGGCACCTCTGCATTGCTACTCCTCTGCAATTAATTTTATAGGCATAAACAGAGACAATTCTTCATCTTTTAAGGTGAAAGTATTTGAGATGTAGGTAAGTGACAGGAGGCATCCCAGGGTTGGCAATATGCTAGTTCATGCTCACTTGAACCACAGTGACTTGTGTAGCATACCTGTATTTTCAGCTACTGGGACAGATTCCAGGCTGGAAAATTTTACTTGTACAGAATGCATCTATCCTAGCAGCACCTACCAGCACTATTTTAGGCAACTCACCACACTGGAATACAGTTGATAACTGGATTTATTATTTAGAGACTATTTGATGGTGCACCCAGACCCCAGTGTAAGATTGTCTCGTGGCCACAAACACCCCCTTGTTGATTACCTGGGCATTAAGGAGCTGAGAGTGAACTTCCTGGTGAGCCTTCCGAAGAAGCTTGCTCTCTTCTCTGAGTTTAAAGACCGTATCTGCAAGAGAAGAAGAAATTTGCTTGAGTGCGCTATTTTTGCAAGTATAGTATCTCTTTTCCTTACCATCAATTCCTCTTGACCTCACAGATCTCTCCAAGCCCAGGAACTACAGTGAAGTGCTAGCTAGAGACTAGCCAAACACACTGACAAACCTGAATCATCATTCCTTTCAGCACTCCGGAGTCCTGCCCATCCTGCTTATGTTTCACTGCCTTGAATATAATCGTGTAACTTCCAGTAAAAAGAAAGACCGTGTCAAAAAATGCCAGCCTTATTCTGGATCCTGAAGCTCTTTTAAAACATCACTGGAATTACATGCACTGGGATTTCTCTGCAAACATAGTTGCACCTGTCAGGACGAGGATGGGAATTTTTCCCTTAAGAGGATGGTCGCTTTGCTGGAGGCTGAATTGCATGCAAGATTTCAGCTCAAGTTTATAGATGTTTCTGATTACAGTGACAAATTTTTTTTTTATAACATTCATCCCTGGGACAGGAAGGACATGTTGCCATTGAGGTTGGGTGCTGTGTTCTTACCTTGCAGTGAAGGTTAACATCAAACTGAGAAAAGAAGGCCCTGTCTTTCCTGCAGCCAGAAGGAAATGTGGAATTATGTCTTGTGGGACTACAGCTAGAACAGCTTTAATTGAGCTACCTTGTCTACACACAGTGCTGAAAGCACACACAGCTGTGGGTGTTGGCCTGGAGCAGTGAATACAGGATATGTTTTTAGGCAGTAGTCCAGGCTAGATGACAGCTAGCACAAGACTGCTACTGCTAAGACCTCTAACTACAATACAGTCATTCCCCCAGGCCTTCAAGAGAACCAAAGGCATCTCAAGCGTGGGAGAGATGTCCAAAAGAATCCCGCAGTTTCACTGAGCCAATACCTCAGTAACATCTAGGTCTTCAAAGCATATTCATAAACTGGAAATCAAAACCTTCATGCCATTTTATGCCCTTCCTCTCCCACCAGCATGGCAGCCCAGATGAAATTCCGGTCCCAATGATATCATCAGGAGTTTTACCATGGGTGTCAGTGGGAAGAAAGTTTCATCTGTAACTACAGGGTCCTTATCTCTAACAGGAGCTGAAAGATCAAAACTATCGCTCTGCCTTCAGAGCAGACTGTGCCAAAGTGTGATGAGAAAATGGAGAGTACAGAATTGTAATGGGAGAGCACAGCAGAGGACAGGCTGTGCTGGGGGTGTGAAATGCAGCATAGGCAGCAGTTGCCATAAAGCAAAGCAGAAAACAGTTCATGATGCAGCAGGAGAGGGCCTAGAGTAGAGGGAGGAGGCAAGCAGGATTAAACAGGCCCTGGTTAACAAGACCAGGATGCTTCAGCCATCTGAGCATACACTCATAACCCACTAACTAGCATTCAAAAACTACTTCCAGAAGCAGGGATTTTCAGGAATAGGACACAGATACCCTAATGGCACCACAACTGGCCCGGGTGCATCGCCCCCAGACCCCAGCATCTTCTGCATGTAGATAGCTATGTCACCAACCTGAGAGCTGCCTCAAAGCTGTAAAGCAACCAGAACCACCAAGAGAAGCTATCAAATCCAGCTCCACCTGTGAAAGCAATCCCTCAGTGGGCTTCTGCTTTCCCCCAGCATTCCTGGGGTAAGAGATTCATTTTTGCAATTGATCTAGCAAAAATCCCTCAGTTCCATTTTAACAGCCCTGAGCAACCTCCACTGCTCAGATACCTCTTCTGCTCTTTATCATATGCACCTACAGAGGCACATCTTCTAACATGCTTCTTGTAGGCACGTTATATCTAGAAAGTACTGGTGGAACACAAGGAAGGAAAATGAGGCATTAGCAACGCTACTAGCTCTGTCTTTGCCACCTCTCACGAGACTGTCTTGCTCTTTTGTACGGCACAGTTACCAATACTTAAGGGACAATTAACTAGCCAGCTTTGAGCTTAAAGCACAGGAGAGAGATAGTACCAAGTGAACAGTAGCCTAGAAAGATGGACAGAGAATATTAATATCTCAGCCTTAAGCCGACCTTCCTGACTAGCTTCCCGCTTTGAATTTTTTGCTGATCATTATTCTCCTTCCTCTAGCAGAATTCCTTTTCTTACTTCATTGGGGCCTGCATATTTCAAGAAGAGAGCCAATCAAATATTTAGATTTTGCTTGCTTGTGTTCAATTTCCAGGAGTGCTTATCAGATACCAGGACTTTGTTGATCAGAGAAAAAAAAACACAAACAAAACATCAGCAGATTTCACTCTCCCAGACCTAATCTAAGTAAGAACAGATGTGAACCTTAAAAACCCCACAATCTAATTAAACAGCAGACTAAACAGAAATTGCTCTTTGGGAATTAAAGGGATCAGCATTCTCAACAATACTTGGACTATTAAATGCATTTTATAGACCTACACTATTAATTACAAAAAGTATGTTTCATTTGCTCCCAAGCTTAAATGTTAGAATTTACCAGATCCTAGTAGTATAGAAACTGTTTTCCATTGTCAAAAGAGTACAGAGAAGTAGAAAATGTATATTGAAATGGACAGGATACCTGAACATCCCAATGTTATATCTCTGCCACAAAAAGCACCTCTGCTAACTTTGTTATACTCACCCACCAGAGAAAGGAGAGAGTAAGGCAATACTATCTGATGGAAGAACCTGTTGTTTCTGCCCCAGGCACGTACCTCTACCTTAGCCTCATGCCTTTTACTTTTGGATTGTCTTACCCATTTTGAGTGTCACCTCCTCGGGACATGGTCTTTTTCACAGTCCGCACACAATCAGCATCTGGCACAGTAATTTGTTATCTCACCTGGCTCTACACAAATTCTACACAAATAATGTAAGCAGCAGCTGCAGTAGGAATAAGCAGCCAGCAAAAGTCAATTAGTCTTTTAAAATAACACCATGAAAGTGCCGGTGTTGACAGAAACCAGGGATGCCCCATGCAGTAGGGGCCTCTGAACCCCAGAGAACTCAAAGTATGGTTAAATCCAAGGTCATACAGTCTCCTCCAGGACCAGGGAATGAAAAAAAAAAAAAAAAAAAAAAAAAGAGGCTCCTCTCCTTTGTGACCCGATACTGACTGTGCAACTGCAGCCTGATAGATGCATTTGCCAGGCCAAGCAGAGACTTTTGTAGGGTGTATTCCTACACGACACCACCTGTGAACTCCAGTGGCCGCCCTTGCATGGGGAAGCTGCCTGATAGCCTGCTCTGCATCTCTCACCTCCCCTCAACGCAACTTCAGGAGACCTGGCCAGTTTTAACACTGCCCTTGTTTCCCCCATCACTGCCTTGAGGTAGGACGATGCTCCAGCTGAGGTGCAGAAGGGCTAAGGTGCTGCAAACTCAGTCGTACAGAAGTGTTCCTACAGTATTTGCAGACCTTTTGGGGGCCTGTAAAAGAAACACCGTCCCCTCCTGAACTCAGTTCTTTGGTCCTTTCTCTGCCTGGTGTTTTCTCAGCTGTCCATCGCACTCACCCTGCAAGTTTGTGACTTCACTGTCCTTCTCCTGCTGCAGCTGAGCATATTTCTGGCTATGGGTCTCCAGTGTCTTACGGTGTTCCAGTTTCAAGCTGTTGTGCTGCAGCTGCAGGTCAAGCAGCTGCTTCTTGACATCTTCGTGCTGGTTCTGAGTATAAAAAGAAGTGACAAAGAGTCAGTACAAGGAGAAGAAGGGTAATTTAGCTAAATGCTACTCGAGTGCCTCTGTTGCTTGGGGAAGCAGAAGAGATGTTTGTTCCTCCAATAAGGTAGCTAGAAATCCCAGATACGATAAAACATTCTTTGTGTTCAGTGGTTCAGGAGAGATGTGAAATGCCAATTAAATTCTGCTTTGAGAAGCAGTTTGGGAAGTCTCCTTGGAAGCTACTAAACAGGAGGCAGAAAGTGGTGGCAAGTCTACTCCTGCCCGAAAGAGATGGAGACTCTGGGACATTGCCAAGAACTGCTGCTATTCTCTCCCAGCTTCCATGCACACCCTGCTCTACGAAAGCAATGCAGGCTCTAATATTTGCTGATATCAAACCAAATGCCTGTGGAACACCGCACAAATCCAAGGCCCTTTCCAGACTGCCAGACATGCTGAAGGACATCGTCACCTGCAAGGATAGTTTTCCTGGTGCACATAGCATCAGTCTGCACATTGCATTACAGTAGTTCACCTTTAAGCAGGGCTAAGGTCTAATCTGCTCTGCTTCCTACTGCCTCTCTGTGTGAGGATATTGCTAGTCAATTAGAACACACGGACACCTAAACACTCAGCTTGTTCTCTCTGCTTGGTTTGCTTCCTGGCAGCGTGGCTGTTCTCCCACCCACCACTCCAAGCTGCTAGAACAGGAGGGAGACCTTTTGCAAGGATACCACATCCTCTCATACAGTGAGACTAGAGCGAGCCCACATTCCCCATAATAACACAAGGCTTACAGGCATAAAATGCCAGGACAACAAGGCTCTCACCAGATCACAGACCATTTCAAGTAGGCCATGAATTCATCAGATAGAAATGAGTTGAAGAGCTGTTCTCTTCTCCCCTCCTCTCTTGCAGAGCCCAGGAACAAAACATGCTGAAACATCCTTTTGCTCAGACCCATTGAACCAGAATTCACCTCCTTTTTTGTTCCCATGGTAACCTAGAGAGTCCTTCCACATTCAGTTTGTCAACACCAATTATATATGCAGATTGATTGGCTCACAGGTGAACCCTGGCCCTTCTACACAATAGCTCCTCAGGACTCAGGTAGCAATTTCAATCAGCCTTCCTGTAAAAAAAAAAAAATCTTCTTTTTAAAAAACCTACACCTCTAAATACTATCGATGATTGCATCTATCCCCAGTAAAACAAAGCAACTGTGGCCCAGGCATTCTCTCTTGAAGCAATTATCCTCCACTGAAAGGAGAGAAATAACTGTGCTCCAAAAGTACAAGTGATGCAGAGGAAAAAGGTATCGGTACGGCAGAGTCCCAGAGACTGAACAAAGAGGGGAGACAAGGATGTCACGTTAATCAGATCACAAGATCAGGAGGGAAAATAAAGAAAATAAAAGATTCCTGCTTTGATTTTCAAAGACACTAAGTATTTACAGTTCTCATCAGAGCCACCAGCAGAAAGCACTGCAGAGGAACCACATCTCTAAAATCATTTTGATACTAAACACCTCAGAAGCCACCAACATCAGCAAGCGAGAATTGATTTTAACAGGAAACTCTAAGCAATTCAAGGAATTTTAAGTCCTCGTCAGTACAGGTCATTTAATTTCTAGCCCATATTCTGTCTGGCAGGTAATGTGCATAATGTTCGTCCCCAGACTGCTGGAAAGCAGGAAGAAGAGAGGGAATATTCATCCTTTGATAGCAGCAGGAAGCTGAAGAGAGAGATAAGTGCTTTGACCAAGGTCACACAAAGCACCTGAGGCCCAGTCCAGCTCATTAAGCACACAGAGCATCCTCACTTCCAACTAGCTTCTAAGGATGGCTGTGACCAATGGGTGCAAACTTTAGGAGGAATCTAAAGATGCTGTTTAATTGTAGCTGCAGGACAGGGGGTCTGGAACATGCTACATGTGATTATTTTTCAGAGAAGCAACTTAACTGTAAGCAGAGCACCCTTGACCCTGTCGGTTCTACCAAAGCTAGGTATGCTGACAGCCCTGAGGAAGCTAGGAACCTCATGTCCAGAGCTGCCCATCTGACTGCTGTCATTCCCTTCTCTACCTCAGAGACATGCTGTTTTACTCAGTCAAGCAGAAACTGTAAGACACAGCACATGAGCACCATGCAAATCGTTGACGAATGCAGCTGGGGAGAGGGAATACAGAGACCATGCTGTCACGACATTTCACTCTGTCTCTACCCATCGTGCCCAACACTGCAATACGAGGAAATCATATTATTTGGGAAGTCAGCTAATCTTGCAAAAATCAGGAGTCCTTCAACTCTGCTGTATGAACTCAGGCCAGCAAGTCCTCTCATCCTACCTTCTCTTTGCTGTTCAGACAACATGCAGTGCCCAACATGCATCAGCTGCACAGTAGCTCTAGCTCACTGAGGTCTCTGGGGAAACGGGCAGGTGAAGAAAAAGAAGAAGATAAGAGTACCTCAAAAACATGCATTTCTGCACGATTTGGAAAACAGCTTTGTAGATAGCATTGTACAAAATGGAATCAGTAACTGGACGCTTAGTCGACAAGTGAAGGAAGGGCACACGTCATTGCAAGTTTCCAGGTTCCAGCAGTTTCAGGAAGTCCATGTCAAAAGTCTTTTGTTTAAAGCCACCTGCCTCCTTGCCTGCCTATTCCAGTGAGTGCGAGCATGCATTCTGCAGAATGATGTTAAAATAATTTTCATCCCTACTCAAGACGATGAAAAGAATCGTAAAATGAAGTCTGGCCCCAGGAGGAATGCAGACACAGGCAACTACTGCAGTTGCTATTTTTGGACAAAGTCAAGCCCCTTGCCCTTTTGAGTCTGGTGTGCCAGCTGCAGATGTTAATCAGGCATAGATGACTTTGGTATGGATCAGAACGACAGCAGTGGCCAGAAACACCAAGCCAGATATGCTGATGTGGCTTCGTGGAAGTCTTTGGTCATATTTGGGACTTCCAGCTTCACAGAGTTAGTTGCTTCTGTTCAGCATTACATGTCTACTTCCTAAGTAGTGATATTGCTGCAGTAATCTTCCTCCTCAGGAACCTAGTACCAGTGGGAAGCATTTTTCACCTGTGCAGTAATGAAAGTGTTACTCAGACTCATAACTAGCTAGAAGTTGAGCTGAGTACTACTTGTTTTCAGAGGGAAGGGAGAGTGGGGTGTGACAGGCCTGAAGCCTACCACACTGCAGTCCCAAGGGCTGGCCTGTCTTTCAGTAGCTGTAAACGTAGTTAAAAAATAGATTATTTTTTTTTCCCCCTCCCAGTAAAAGGAAGCAAGAGAAAGGGAGCCAGGATGAAATGCTCTCACTGTCCCCTTGAGACAAGCAAACCAGAGCATTCTGCTCAGACTGCAGTTGCTATGAAGAGGAAAGTGTTCCCAGAATCCATGGTGCTGGATAATACCCAAGAGACAGAACTGTACTTCCTTTTCCCAAAGTTTGAATCCAAAAGCCAGGCAGCTGGAGGTCCAACACTGCTCAGGAAATACAACCCAGCGGTGCTACGAGTTGCTGGAACCTAGCCCTCTTTCTACATCCCAGAATTAAATTACCATTTCACTGCCAATGCTGTAACCCAAAACATTTAAAACCCACTATCACCAGCCACAGTTGCATTGCTCTAACAAAAGCAAATCTTAACATCAAGATATGCTTTGGGTAGAGCATGTGATAAGCTATAAAATGCTATAAGCCACCCCTCCCTGAGCCTCTTACACAGACTGGAATACGCTGTATTAGCCCAAAGGTCAAGCTACAATGAACAGACCCATTTTCACACTAAGAGACCGAGAAAAGAACACGCTGAAAAACAGAACTCCTGTGTGATAAACTGCACAAAGACTACCATTGAAATGAGGTCTAGGTGAAGGCTGTAATCTGATACAAAGCCCAACAGAGTAAATAGCAAACTCCCATGAACCTGGATAGTCAGGAAGGAATGTAGATCAACACCCTCTGTGCTGGCACTAGCTGGAGGAAACCCTTGGTCTCTCCTAGGCATCTCTGGGAAGCAAAAGCCCGGACTCTCCTCCCAGGGAACGTTCTTTAACGCGCAGCAGACGGCGAGGACATGAAGCCAGACTCCTCCCTTACCTTCAGTATCTTGTGCTGGGAACTGAGGGCCCCATATCTGTTCATAGAATCTTGCTGGAAAGAAAGAGATTCAACAGTGCCATTAGATCCCAGAAAAACCCAAGGCAGGGAGAAACACACACAAGCACCTGCCCAGCCACTGCACCAACAGCAAGTTCCCGCTGCCCCTTGGCACACACGGGCACGCACACGGTGACCAGGAATGAGCCTGCCAAGGTGACCAGCAGAACGTCTGGCAAAGAACCCTTTCAAAACAACCTTGCCACCAGCTAATTAACTGTGCTCTCTTGATTCACATTCACAGCAGTTTTCCCCAGTCTTCAGTTCTTTATCTAGGACAGGCCCTGTGCTGAAAGGGCTCTGCACAGTAAACCCCCCCAAAGCAGGCTGAGCGCTCTTTGCAGCAGCTGAGGGGGAGGCAGACAGCTAAGGCTTTCGCCTACACACAAAAATTGCATCATTTAACAAGAAATTGATCACTAAGCAATTGAGCAAGCCTAAAGCAAACTCCTGTAATTAGGTACAGCTCTCAAACTAAGCTCAACTGACACAAACCAGCAGCAAAGAGGGATTTACATGCGTCCTCAGAGGGGTCTGTACTAGTTTAACAGATCTGCTTTTGCCTCGCTAAGGGTCACGGTCTTCCCCTTTGTCCTCAGGGTACCGTTCTTCGCTGTAGCACCAGTGTCCCAACACAGCAGGTGTGAAAGCCACCAGCCACCTGTGCTCAAAGACTAAGTCCCCACAGCAGTAGCAGCACCTGAGAGGGAATGTAGAATCATAGAACAGCCCAGGCTGGAGGGGACTTTGAAAGATCATCTGGCACAACCTTTACATGCTGCAATTTTTCCCCATTACATGCAGTTTTACAAATATCTCTTGGGATCTATGTTTGGGTAGCTTAAAGCAACATGGCTGAGACACTAAGCAGCACCATGGAAGTGCAAACTAACCACCATGCAGAGAGTTCCACTACAACCCACAATTTAACTTGTATGATAAATACTCAATGCCATACGAAATATTACCAGCAAACGAGCACAACTTGCAAGGGAGCTGCCCAGCCATTAGAGTACTCAGACATACATCCATGAGTTTCTTTCTGTAGCAGGATGACTTCCACCCACAGATGAGCAGGCTAAAAGCTATTCCTCTTCTCCAGCACCTCATCAACAGATGCTCTGATAAAGGAATAAAACCAGCCTTATAACTTCAAGGGAATGGGACAGATTGTAACCCAGGGATGCATTTCTTCCTAACCCTCACTGAAGAGTCCTTTTCCTTGCTGAACAAGAAGTCCACAGGCTAGTGGAAATCATTTGACAATCCCTAGAGACAGAAAACAACAGATATGCTTTCCCCAACACCACCATGGCTTTTCTTCTCCATATTCCCTGTGGTGTGCCTTGCATTCAATTTCCCCAGGACTCTTCTGTACCATGAAACAGCAATTCTCTTTTCAGACTGCTGCACAGGACTCCCTGCTACACCAGGAGCTGACAATCAAGCCATCTACTCTGCTATCAAACACAGGAGAATAGGCAGAACAGCTCTCGCACAACGCAGTCTTTCCCTGAGATGAAGTAAATCCTCACACACCAACAGCCTTGCAAGGTGGAGTCAGCCAAAGTTCATCTTGTACCATACACACTCATAGTCTTTCATGCCTTCCAGACAGCAGCACTGGCCTCATGACTATCATGGTACCAGAAAAATGTTTACCATTATTACACACACACACTGAGGAATAAACCATACCTACCTTCTCCTTGTTGAGGGCTTCCTGAGCTTCTAACTTATATACTAGAAAATCTAGAAATGGAAGGAGAGAAGACAATTTAATGAGCTGGAATTTAACAAGGGTCTGTTTTATATTTTGGTAGGGGGAGGGAAAGAAAAAAACAGCCCCTTGCTGAGCAAAACGCTGCAACTCAACAAGCTACAATGCAGATGCTGTGAGGAGACTTCACTCAATGCCCTCAAAGATGGTAGTATTTCCCATGACAGCTGTTGACCCATCTAGACTGGCCCAAATGTCCTTCCTTTCCCATTCTATAGTCAAGTGCATTGGTAACTTCCTGCTTCAGCACACAAATGGCTACATTTTGGTGTCACTGAAGCTGTGTAAGGATTTGGGTTGCTCTGAAATGAGAGGTGACTCTGGAAAAGAGAAATCAAAGCTTCTGAGACCAAAAGGAACTCATCCGCTGATCTCATCTGCACCACCTTCTTAAAATGAGAAGGTCCCATGACAAGATAACATTTATCAGGATGCTTCATTTTCTCAGTCGGTCCCCACCAAATAAATTAAAGCAGAGGCAAAAATGCAGCTTCTCCCTTAGCTAGGTAGCCACATAGCACCCACCTCCCAGCAGCCTCTGCCTATGGGCAATGCACAAGTCAGTCAACTATTCTCTAAGTACAAACCAGGGATGAGTCTCATCTGGGAGGCATTCCGTAACATCCACACACAGCCCTGAAGGCAGAAAATGCTTTGGGTACAACACACACATCTCCCCGGGGACAGCTGGAGGGTTGGCTGGCCACTGCTATGCCATCCATGCAAGAGACTCACCTTCCTTTGTCTTCTTGTGCTCCCCTCGCTCCTTCTGCAAGGATCGTTCTAGCCGGGATCTGTGCTCATACACGACTAGGGAAGCAGAAAGAGGCAGAGCGTGAGATAAACCCTGAAATTTCTTCCCACGTATTCTTTCCCCCAAAACAGGCCTCTCGCAGATCATGCAGCCAGGGGCACATGTGCATCTCACTCCCTGCTGTGGACTAGGCCAGCAAGTGCCCAAGAGAGCAAACTTGGGCAAAAGAGCCTTTCCTGTTTTGAATGGCCTGCATCACTCCAGGCTTCTAGACTTAAGCACACAGTAGCTCACAGGTAGGATCCAGGCCAAGCAAATCAACAGTCCTGAAATACATGCAGATACCTGATATCCTAAACAATGAAAGGGTCATGTCCAGCTGTTGGCACTTCTTTGTCACCTGTGAACAGATAAGGTCTGGAGCAGGGCGGGAGGACAGATGGACTAGAGACAACGAACATTCCTGATATAACACACCAGTCTGTCATCCTGTGAGTATTTGCACTCAGGTTTTGCTCTGGAGTCCAAGAGCTGGCTTCAGTGGCCAGTGGCTAAACTATATACTTGTGGGCCAAGTCCCCTACCAGATTCATAACAGGCAGAGCCTTCCAGGTCATCTGTTCTGTAAAGGCATCAGCAGAATGCCGGAGAGATTTTCTCCCCCCTTCCACAACCCAACCATTAAGTGGCCCTCAGGCCACTAAGGAAAAGTGAGCCAAGCAGCTCCCTCTCCCATTACACACAAAAGAGCATCTGTACTCTGCACAGGAGCCAAGAGGGAGAGGTATGAGGCTGATTTGTACAGCAGCCCCATGACAAATGAAAGTGCCAGGGAAGCTTCCTGATGGATGGTGATTTTAATCCAGTCTGATGTCTGAATGCTAACCAAGAGCTTTCCCTGAGTCACAGCATTCAGCTGCAACAGGCTTCTCCATCCCCTCTGCACAAACTGCCACCATGTCAGAATGGAATGGGGTGGCAATGCAGAGCAAGGGGGCAACAAAAGAAACTTGCCTCCCGAGCCAAGATCTTTGGGGGCAAGTCATGCCATAATGCACAGTCTCCAGAAAAATTAACAAAGTGAGATGATGCTTGCATGCATAAAACAAATTCTAACCCAGTCCTTGTTGAAATCTTGCCAAGCCAAGAACCCCAAGTGACTCGTGCTCTCTGTGCAAGTGAATCTATAGAGACTGCCAGCTCCACTCAGGTCATACAGGAGAGCAAAGGCAGTGTATGTCCTGCCTTAACAGCTGGCTTGCTGCCCGAGAAGAGACACTCCAACCTGGGGAAATAAGAGATACAAAACATCCATATGCATATCTAATGTTTTACAGTATTGACCATCAGTGGCACCAAGCCTATGGTAGTGCAGATGTCACTCTCAATACATACGTGGAGAAGAGCTCATAGGCAGTTCTAGCATCCTAAAAATCAGGCTAGGTCGTTTTTCTAAACAATACTAAAGATCATCCAGGAACTGCAAGGCTGAGGTAGAGACCATACAAGAATCAAGCTTTGTGATCAAAATAGTCCTTCCTTGCCCTGCCATCTGCAAGCCTGACACCTCTGTAGCCCCTGAAGGAAAACAAACAAAAGCCACCCAAAGGAAAACACTTTTTCTGCTGCCCCACCATTTCTCCCCAGGCAGGGAATTCAAGCCACCCAGTTCTTCTGAACTCCACAGAACTCACAGCCTCCCTATGCCTCCCCTCTTCCTTTTGCATTCAAAAATGTCAACCATTCCTTGCATTTTTAGACTGTCTTCCTCATAGCAAGTCTCCTAATTACACTAAGTGCATGGAAGACTAATTTCACCAGGCAACAAAGCACTGCTGCCACGACCATCCTTCAAGAGCTTTTCAATCAAAGCTGGGCATTCAAGGGAAGCATTCCTTGACTTTATGAGCCACATCCCCCTGCAACTTCCAGACCTGAGAGAACAGTCTAATCATTTTATCCAGCTTCTTTAAAAGTCTGGTTCACTATTGCGTATTTCTCTTCTGTTGGATCACAACAAATCCAAGTCTGGTGGCTTTACCAGGACCCTCAAAACGACTGATGTTTTTCTTCCCATCTGAAAATGTCTTTGCCACACGGAAAAAGAACCTTCATATGGTTTAAGCCCACGATTTTTAAGCCAAGCCCATGACATTGGCTAGGTCCAAGCTTGGGGTTTTTTGCAATACTTTGGTTTACCAGCAGTGAATCTGTCAATATTTACAGTGATGTCCAGCAGCAGCTGAGCACCTGAGTGAATCAGGGGAAAAAGAAATAATGATAAATGAAGCCAGGCACAGTAAAGTGTTGAATCCTAAGGATTTTGCCGATTGCAGTACAACTGCTTCCTAAGCCTTCTGCTGGCACTGCCCCAGGTAGCTCCCTCAGGGAACAAGAAGGGCCAGTGTCCTAGGTCAGGAATTCCTATTGTCACTAGCCACGCTATCTCCTTCCTTCTCTTTGCTACCTTCCCTAGTTAACAGACATCTCAATGGTGAAGATGCTTCCCTTGGGCTGGGCTACTTCATTAACATTTTCCTCTCAAGTGAGGAAACTACCACATTCTCCAAACCATTACAGCAGAAATCTTTTTCAATCTGGAAGGATTTTTTCCCCTGCTGAGCACACTGGTAAGCAGCAAGGCCATCACTGTGGCTGTCCAAGTGTCTGCTACATGACAGCTTTATTTTCAGGAACACTTTTCTCAACATACTACTCAGATGTCACCCTAAGGGCTTCCCCAGCCCAGCTAGGCACACAAGAGACTGTGGGTGCTTCTTCCCTACAAGCTAAAAAGCCTTGTTCAATTAAATTGTCATCTTAAGATCATCAGCCACTTCCCAAAAGATTTGTGAGCTCCAGGCATTCTTGTTTCTGCCACTAGCAACTCACTTTCTCGCAGTCTTATCTAGCAAAGCAGCTGAAGACAAGTCTTTGATGTGATCGGAACCTCACACCAGCAATGGAAAGTCATGGATGCTGGGACTATTAGGGATGCCCAGCAATTCACAGGCTTTACTATGCCCCTTCGTGTACTCTGAGCTTCCAGTCTGCATTTGCCTCAGCAGTTCTGGGCTTGGAGGAATTCCTCATGTTGGAGTTTCTCCTCCAGGCATTTCATTTCATTTCCTAGTAATCTGAGTATACTGAAAGAAAAAAGAGTCTAGGACCAGGGTCAGAAACTCACCCCACATGGGCAGGTTACCCACCTCTCCAGGTCCCTGCAGCTGAAGAACCCAGGGCAACTGAGGCAGCAACCAGCCTCACTGACAGCACAGTTGTGCTCCATCACCCAGAACGGCAAAGTACATGGTGTCCACAGGAGACAAGTTGAACAGCTACAGCCTGACTCAAAAAAGCCAAGCACCCTCAGCACAGGACCAGGCAAGTAAATAACTATTTTGTGTAGAAAAGATCTGCTTAGATGACCCCAAGCTACCAGGTGCTATTGATCTCACATAGTAAATGGGAAACTAAAGCACAGGAAAGCATCTGTAGCAATAGGCTTGTGCTAACACCTATAACCACAAATCCTAATACAAGCACCACAAAGCAGATGAGTCTTCAGGAACAGCTCCATATCATAAGCTGCTTATTCAGAAATTTAGGACAAAATCTGGCTCTTCTGACACTTTTTTTAAAAAGTAAGATAAGCTGAAGTAACCTCCAGTGACTAGAAAAAAAAAGCTGTAATCTCTCCTGCCATTCCTCCAGGCCTCTAGAGCCCAGAAAAGGTGGGTTCAACTTTACACAAAGCAGTGAGTAAGTGTTGCATAAAGTAGTCTCTACTCATCTTGTGGTGGAATACAGCAACAACTTCGCGGACCAAAATGGCACTGTATAGCTTCAGAGGACAGGAAGCCAGGAAGCCTTTATCAATTTGCAAATATAAGAGAGAATGGAGGGTGGTCAGTGTCTTAATCCACGATGGAATTCAGCCAGAACTCAGCACTAAAGCACCATCACCTACTGCCAAATGAGCTAAAACGTAGAAGTTGATCTGCTGAAACAATGAAATCCCTTGCAGTGCCTTGCCTTTGGGAAAGAAGAACAGGTCAGGCCTTCCACAGACTTGTTCTCATTTTAGAAGACCACAGAAAACAGGGTGACTGTGTGAAGAGGTTGCCTCATATACCCCAGAGTACTAAGATAAACATCTGCCAGGGAGAGGTTAAGAGAACCATAAAGAGAGAGCAATTCCAGTCTTGTCAACAGTCCCAGGTTTTATTTTCCTTCTGCTCAAGTGGTTTCATTTTACCCCTGCCTGGGAAAGCCACAAGTGCATGCCAGCTCCCTGCTTTTACGGAGCAAGAGAGCAGAGGCATCAGATTTGCTGCTTTGGTTCTGCTAAAACTGTGCACAGTGCATAGTTCGTTAGGCCATTTCTATGCCAACAGCAGATACTGTGGAGTCGTCATACTGCCCATGGCTCACAGCTCCAAGCAGCTCTCAGCACACAAGAGATCAACACGAACTTCCAGACTGCACTGTGCTCATTCCCCTCTCATAGCTAATCACCCAGAAAAAGCTTTCTTCTCTGTTGCTCTCCTTGTTAGAGGTATCAAATACTCCTGCCAGTCTACTCCTGCCAGTCTCCAGCCAGTCACATCACAACTAATCGCTCATGGCACCAGTCTCTCAGGCTCAAGAATCATCCAGAGCAAGGGACAAGGGAAGCAGAACAAAAGTCAGACTTATCATACCTCCCTCTCTCATCCAAAGAGACAGCAAAGGAAAGATAGATTGGGTAAAAGACACCCAATGGTGAGGACACGAGTGCTGCATTCTCATGCTCAGCCACTGTGCAATGGCAGCCTGTTGCGAGGGAGAAAATTCCTCCATCCCAGACATCAGTTTGATGTGCCATTGTCAGGCCACACCAGGAAAGTCAGACAGAAGCAGACAGCACTATAAATACACCCTTCTCATCTGTTCAAAGAGTGCCATTTGTTAGTGAGCTGACCAAAATAAAATCTCTCTAGTTTCACTCAGAACCTCCAGGCAGCAGCATGCTCATACATATACGGCCCACACCTACAGCAAGTGGGAGGTGGCAAACCAACACTTCGCTTAAAGCCACCCTACACGTAACTCAGCACGACACGAGTTTGAGGTGGGGGCTGAGACAGAACAGATTCATCTGAAGTACACACCAGGTCATAGCTTGCCAAACTGTGTTTCTAATCCCCTCTAAACCTCGTGACACAGCAACAGAGTCCCCCAAATCACAGCTCACAAAGGAGAGCCCTGTATCTGGCAAAGTGTCTCCATGCACTGTCAGACATACCTCCAACCCCACCCAGCAGAAACAGAAGAGAGGGAGGGATAGAAAAGCCAAGCGGATTTTCCTCCTGGAGTCCATCTGGACCACAATACAAAAAGAGGGTCTACTGGGTCACAACAAACAGCTACCTCTGTGCACAGCAGCAAGAGCTGGCCGGGACAAGGGGTACTAGCCACCAGGCGAGAGGTTGGACAGGGTCACACGCATGACAATACCCCCCTTTCTTCTTCTCACACAATGTGTTTTACCCTACAGCAAAGTCAGCAGCTGCTTTGCTCTTATTTTAAGAGTAGATGACATCCATTTCCTTGCGTGCAGCCAGTAGAAGACAGCGCAGTGCTAGTTTTAAGAGAGCTTTGCTCCCTTCTCCACTTGTTTTCCTTTTCCCTTTCCCTCAACTCTTGGCCCAGCCCTACACTTTCAAGCTTTATTTACAGAGGCTACCGGAAGCACTAACCATACATTGTACTCAGATTTAAGAAAGGTAGGAAATACTTGATGGCTGAAAGTAGACACCTGAAACGCTAGTTAAACAGTACTGAATTCCACCTCGGAGTAACATGTCCTCCTTTTGTAGAGCTGGAAAGACAGAAATCAGATGCAGCAGACATGGCAATTAAAGTCATGCAACAAATCTGCGCAGGGGCAGGGACAGAGCCCAGAGCCCTGACTTTCCACTCTCCTGTGTTCAGCACCAAAGCACCACAGGGAGCAGCACTGCAAGACGACAGCACAAGAGCCACGGCTGTGTGTGCAAGATACCACTACACTTTAAGACTTCGACGAGCATGGCTCCTATCTGCCAATCACTAGGCTTCCCGCACCAGCCAAATCCAAAAAGCAGCTTTGCCTTTGTTAAAACTGTTGGACAAGTAAGTGTCTTCTCAAAATAAAAAGGGTATCCATGGCAACAACTGTAGTTAGGAATGGGAGGACTGACAGAGGGTTAGAAACCTCAGCAACAGGCTACAGCTCTGCCACTCAAACATATTCGGGTGGAAAAAATATTACGAGCCTGTCTCAGCTTTTTGCTTGAGTCTGCTGTTCCCAAAACTGGGGTTCCCTGAGGCTACCACTGTCATTCTCTGAAGAACCAGCCCCTCTCTCCAAGAGAAGCAAGAGATGCTGACACACCAGAAAGGAATGTGTGCTAACTTCTGCCCTGCTGATCTTTGCATCTCAGAAACACAGGACCAAGGTGGAAATCCCTGTGGCTGGGACTGTGCAAGACATTAGGAGCTGTAGCTGTTTGACAGCCTTGTGATAGAGTAAGAAGAAATAGAAACAAAACGTAAGATAACAGCAGTGAACCTATATACACACTTAGATCAATTCACGAGATTGATTGTTTTTAAAAAGCATGTTTCCTTGAGAAACAAACAAAATGCATACACCACACACTGCTTTCCCTGTTTACAGGTAGAAATACACAGCCCTGAGCACAAGAAGCATATGTACAATGTTACATTTGCATCACAACACTGCACACAAAGCCACGGGAAGAGATTTAACTGTAAAAGGCACATATGTTGAGTCACAGATCTGCAGAATTTCCCAGCAATACAGGCTATAGAAACGTCACTGGATATGTCAACAGAGGTCGTAACAGATACCCCGTATTTGATTTTAGCCTGAGGAAGAGCTTTTCCTCACTCAGAAAAAGTGTTAAATTAATCTCTTGACCTGGAGTCACTAGAACCACAGGCAAACAGTATTTTGTCCACACAAAATTAATTCTGTGGGTGCTCCAGAACCTACCCATCCTCCAGCGTGACACACACAACTGTTGGCTACCAAAGAGTGGATTTCCATCAAATCTCTCTACAGGGAGCTCAGCAAATCCCTCTAGAGACTCCAAATATAGCGACAGGTGCTGAAAACGTAGCCTCGGCAGATGCAGTAAGACTGGAATGATAGGCTAGACAAAGAAGGTAAGAGCTCGGCAATGGAGTAATGTGTGTCCTCAGCATTCCCTGCTGAAACCTCTCCAGGGGCTAAAATGTCATTCTCCCAGCTACACATTTATGTAAGGAGGACAAATGAGGGGGGAAAGGAGGAGAAGAAATACACATATTATGCTTGCCTTCCAGTCTTCTGGCAGCTCTTGCCAGAGGAACCAAGTGCTGGTCAGCAGGCTCAGAAAAGCCAATTCTTCCTCCTCCTCCTCCCCCGTTTTTAGAGCGCTCTGTGCTGCAGCATCTATCAGTGCCAAACAAGCTGGCAAGACTTTTCTAGTCACAGACCAATCACTTGAGAAGATAGTCTTGTTTCCTTGCAAAGGCAATGGCCAGTAGACAGTATGACGACAAACTTTACTAAAGGATCCCTTGTCTCTCTATTCACTTTCCAGACAGACGCTCCTGCAGGCTAGAGAGTGGAGCCACATCTCAGAGCCTGCCCAAGCAGCCTCTGAAGTCCTGCTTGCATTTTTACTGCTTCACATTTAGAACGACGTAGGACTAGTCTTTACAGCTGAAGGAAACTACAGGGAGAAGAAATGGAATAGACGTGATGCAGCTGAGCTCATCAATCCAGCACGCTCCGTCCCCCGTTGAGACCAGCAACTCAGATTCAAGGCTATTCTAACTCTAGACATCAAAGAGGGGAAAGAAATGGGCGACAACATCTTCTTAGAGCTCTTTAAAGCCAAAAGCTGACCCGTGCTCCACAAAGGCACCCCACTTGTCGCTGGGCTGTGCAGCAAAAACACCGGCAGGTAATGTCGGGAGAGAGGGAAGTTCAGACGGTGTGCGTGCACACACACACAGAGCAGGTCACTCACCTTGGAGCTGGGCAGACAGTGCTTCCTGCTGCTGTTTGTATTTCTGGGCCAAGGCTTCAGCATTCCGCACCTTTTGCTGCAAGTGATTGTACATGAAAACTCCCGAGCCCAAACACGCCACAGTCACCAGGCAAAACCCGGTCTGCAGAAGCCCCTTCTGCCTCCTCGAACACATGCCAGTACCCATGATGGGGCTGAAGCAAAACGATGTAGCGCTGCCTCTCTGGCGTTGCTAAAGCATCCAATTATTTTTCCCCAACAGCCCCTTTCCTCCACGAATTCGCAGATCCCTTTGCAAGGTGCGATCAAAGTCTCGCCTTCGTTCCTTTGCAGCCCTCAGGGAAGCGGAAAGCGGTCCAGCAACGGTTTATTCCTCATTGCCCATCGG